AGTGATCTGTACTCCACATATTTATTACAGCTCAATTCACAATAGCTAACATATGGAATCCACCCATACATCCATTAGCTAATAACTGGATAATGAAATTATGGAATATAAAAACTATGGAATACTACTCCACAGTGAAAAAAAAAGTGAAATCCTTTCATTTGCAACCAATTGGATGCAACTGAAAAGCTTTATACTTAGTGAAATAAGCCAGTCCCCAAAAGACAGGTAATATATTTTCCCTGATATGGTAACTAAGAGAGTACCACAAAGGTAATGTATAGGAGTGAAATTGACACTTTGAGATTTAATGATTGTTCTACCCTTGTTTTTTCCTCATACTATTTTTGTTGAAATCTTTACTTAGTTTTAAGGGTTTTTTTTTTGTATATTTTGGATATACTGAGTGTATCTTTTGCTTGACATAAAAATGAATGGAATCTATAGTAATAGATTACATTCCACGTAATATAAACATGGAATGGTTATGATTTCCCAATCAACAAAGTTTCACAGAAAATCACTGTAGTTATTTAAAATCAAAAAGTTTCAGTTTTGCTGCTACAAGTTCTTGGTTTTAATGTGTTCAAGAAGATATATCTGGTTAAACATAAAATTAAATGTTGTGTATTTTCAACTTAAAAATGTTTAGTCCTGTGTTAGCACAGCAATATTAACGCATGCTCCTTCAAAACTTTCCCCATACAGCTTAATATATGCATAGAAAAGAAACACTCAACATGCTGGAATGAGGGTAGAATTCTGTGTATAAGACATGAAAAATACTTTTAAACAGGAAAGTTAAAGTACTTCAAAATCAGAAAGTTACTGGCAATAAAAATAAAAAAAAATTTCTGAACTACAATATTAGGAGAACACTTAAAATTCTAGAAGTTGATGTTAAAGAATTTAAAAAATGTAATAGAAATTTATATTAAAGTTCTTTGCTTCTCTTTCCAAGTATAAGTTTAACAAACAGGCAAAAAAAGGGCCGGCGCCGCGGCTCAATAGGCTAATCCTCCGCCTTGCGGTGCTGGCACACCAGGTTCTAGTCCCTGTCGGGGCGCCGGATTCTTTCCCGGTTGCCCCTCTTCCAGGCCAGCTCTCTGCTATGGCCAGGGAGTGCAGTGGAGGATGGCCCAAGTGCTTGGGTCCTGCACCCCATGGGAGACCAGGAGAAGCACCTGGCTCCTGGCTTTGGATCAGCGTGGTGCGCCGGCCGCGGCGGCCATTGGAGGGTGAACCAATGGCAAAGGAAGACCTTTCTCTCTGTCTCTCTCACTGTCCACTCTGCCTGTCAAAAACAAACAAAAAACAGGCAAAAAAAGATTAGATAACTTCATTAAAGATTGAACCACAGAGAAAAAAGCATGTAAGTTATTTGGACAATATTTTCTAATGTGTTAAGGGTGCCATACTAAATAATGAATTTATATTATTGTTAACAAGGCTTAATGATTGATTTACTTTCATATTTTATCATTTTTCAAAACTGTGTTCTTTAGTCTCTCTCTCTGTCTCTCCCCTTCTCTTCCCTCCCTCATTCCCTCTCCTCCTTACTCTCTTTTTTGCTGTTTTAAAAACTCTACCATCATGCTACCACAGTCATTATGTTAACAATTTCATGCATCTATAATATGCCTTATACATTCGGAACAAATTTACCATAAGTGCTACTGAATACAAAAAATCTTCTCTTGACTAGAAATATAAATTCTCTCTCTCTCTCTCTCTCTCACACACACACACAATCTTTTTTTGTATTCTTATATGAGGCAACATACATACATACTGTAGACAAAAAGACAAAGAATAACTTATGAGAGTAGCTAACTTAATGTTTGCACATTGTGTATTTTTAAATTATATTTTCCAAGCGACTCTTTGGCTTCTAGTTTGGCAGGTAGGATTCCATGATTTTAAAGTTAGCATTTCTGCAGAATTTTGTGGATATGGAAAGGAGTATTGCTGAAAAAGTGTGATAATGTTAATTTCTGCATTTTTGAGTTCTTCACTAGAAGATGGACATAGCACATGAGGCAAACAAACTATAGCAGGGTTGAAAGCATAATGATTCTGTCAATACAGCTTAACATTCCCCCAATCACTGATTTTTAAATATGTTGATTTCATAGTGTGAAAATTTAAAAAATATGTCAGGTAATGAATATAGGAATCTAATCTTATTCAAATTCATTCTCATCCCAATTAAAGGCGAGGTCTTTACAAAGAAATTCACAGCATCCATAATGCTGATATGAGGAGGGATAATATTAACAATGTCCATCACCGACTGAATATCATGGTGTTATAAAGAAATTGACAAGCATGAGGACAGTGCTGTAGCACAGTGGGTTAAAGCCCTGGCCTTAAGTGCCGACATTCCATATGGTTGCTGGTTCTGCTCCTCTTCTGATCCAGTTTTCTGCTATGGCCTGGGAAAGCAGTAAAAGATGGCCCAAGTCCTTGGGCCCCTGTACCCATGTGGGAGACCTGGAAGAAGCTCCTGGCTCCTGGATTCAGATTGGCGCAGCTCTGGCTATTGTGGCCATCTGGGGAGTGAACCAGCAAATGGAAGACTTCGCTATCTGTCTCTACCTGTCTCTGTAACTCTGCCTTTCAAATAAATAAAATAAATCTTTAAAAAAAGAGAAATGGACAGGCAGATGATAAAAGAAAAAGCTTTGGGTGTGGGACAATATGAATATGTCATGTCTGGACTTTAAAGTGGTTATCCACATAAAATACTTAATAATACTTTATCATCCAATAGTTATTTGTGGGGACAATTGTTCTGTTAAAGAAGCCAGCAAACATTATGGATTTCAATTCCTAATTACAAGAAAATATGAAAGATATCCTGGCAGGGGTACAGGGGAGGAAGAAAGACACCATAAGGGCTTGCAATGTGGTGCAGTGGGTTGAGCCTCAGCCTATGATGCTGGCATCAAATATGGACGCTGGTTCAAGTCTCAGCTTCTCCACTTCTGATTCAGCTCCTGGTTGACAAACTGAGAAAGCAGCAGAAGATGGTCCAAATCCTTGGGCTCCTATACCCATGTGGGAGACCTGCAAGAGGCTTCTGGCTCCTGGCTTCAGATCAACTCAGATGTAGCCAATGTGGCCATTTTGGGAGTGAACCAGCAGATGGAAGATCTCTGTCTTCCCTTCTCTCTCTCTCTCTCTCTCTCTCTCTAACTCTGCCTTTTCAATAAACATAAAAAAAGAAACCCTAAGCCTATGCATCAGTATTCTCCTTTCTATCTAAAAGAAAATATATTTAACAAAGGGAAGAATGACAGGAGTAAAGAGACTTGAGAAAAGAAAAATGTTTAAGTCTTCTTAAAAACTTCAAGTGATAAATTTTTGAAGTCAATTATTACATATATCCTCCACAGATTGGATGAGTTTGGCAGGTATAGAAAATATGTTGAATCAATGCATTTCTTCAATATTCCTCATGGTAGTAGCAGAAGTTTAACCTAATGGGATTCTGTTGCATGGTGTATGGTTTCCTTTGCTCATCCCTTCATGATAATAGAATATGCTAAGTGCTTGTACCTGAATTGCAAGCCTGGCATAGAATTGGCTCACAGTGAAGATTAGCTAAATTCTGTGTGAATGCATCAGTATCATAAACCTTCACGAGCATGTAAGTCATTGTTAAAATTTTCTCTATATTCATCAGGACTGTGCTCTCTAAAAAGTTTTCTTCTTTTTAAATTAACACATATTTCATAGATGCATTGGCCATTTCTATTAGATGTTTACTTCTGTGATTCAGACAATAGTTTTTTTCTCTCAATCTGTATGCTAAAATTATCATAGGGTTCTATGTATGACAATGCTTCCTAAATACTAAAAATCTTAGTATCCATTCCTTTGAAATTTCTTCATATACTCCATTTTCTAGGAAAGCAGCTGAGAAACTCAGCTCCATAAGCTCTGACTAGTGCTAAGAATAATATATTGGGAAACAGGCTGCTGTATATAGCATATATGTGAAAGCGATGACAAATACTTGGTAGGCTACATTAAATGCTAAGGACATGAATAGCAATTTAATTATTCAGATAGGAGGTCTTAAGCAAAAGAATAATTAAGAGGATGAAGTTGGAGGTATCTGGTAAAAAAAGATTTTCCTTTAATTAAGTGAATATTTTAGAAAATGGATTCTGGAGACTTAATTTATACAGATCACTCTCACTTGGAATTTGCTTTTTGTATTGGGCACAGGTGAGAGAATGTTTCAGGACTGCAACTTTATATAGAAAATTTAATTAACAGGAAGTCATAGATAAAGTATACTAAACTTTTAATTCCTACATCCTTTAAAATAATTTCTTAAGATTTTAATATATTTAGGATGAATCACTAAAATACAGTATTTAAGGAAGAAACATATAATAAAAGAAAATATGGGGTTAACATTCTTATGTAAGTATATATTTGTAAAAAATTTCACAAATAGAAAGGTGTAAAGTTATAAAATTTTATTGGTTCAGGAGTTACAATTTTGTTTTAAATAACTTCTCTGGGCTTCAGTTTCCTGATCTGTCAAGTGTGGTAAACAAGAGCCCTTGCCTCATAGTCTGTGGAGATGATTAAGTGAATTAATACACAAATGCACTCGAACAATCTGTGACATTATATTATGCATGAGTTCAATAAACATTATCGACTATTATTACTGTTATTATTAGTTATCATTATTATTACTATAAAATAGGAATGTAGTTTTGAGAAGAAATCCAAGTATGTAACAATTTCTTAGAATTACAGATACCATTTTCTGCAAAATAAAAAATCATGAGTCTGCACTTCCCGTACTTAGTGACTGCTCTGGTGTTTGAATATGTTATGGGTAGGGACTGTTGGGCCAACTAAATAAGTACATTAACAATCTTAACTTCCAGTGGAACAGAAATAAGAATACTCATTCTTAAATCATCTACAATGTTGAGTGAATAATTGACATATTTTCCCATGATTCTTTGCAGATATCATGGAAATCAGGACTGTGGCAGTTGGAATTGTGGCAATCAAAGGGGTGGAAAGTGAATATTATCTTGCAATGAACAAAGAAGGAAAACTGTATGCAAAGGTATTGATAAATGATAGCTTAGATTTTAATTTTTAAAATTTGTTTTTGTCAAAGCATCTTGCCCTTCAGCAAAGTAAAAAATGGAACTAATTTTTTCCCAACTATATAATTTAATGATTTCATTAAAATGACTTATACTCAGGCATTAAGAAAAAAATATTTTCTGTATAACCATGGACAAATTGCTTAAAGCTCCTTGGTTTCTTCATCTGTAAAAATGCGTTGGACTTACTGGTCTGTAAGGACTCTTCCAGCTCTAAAATTCCATATGCATTTTAGATATTTGAAATATGAAATTGCCAGCTGTCGGTATTAAAGCTCTTTTTGTTACATTCATGCAATTTGCATATTGCTGACATGAAAATTCTTGGGGAAAAATCTTGACGTATTCATTCAGTTCATTTATCAACATCAATCTCACAGTCATGGGCTTTGAATTGTAAGCATTCACATTGTTCCTACTTTATTACAATGCAAAACATCTAACAATTTATCCCACACTAATAAATTATAATTGACTTTCCTTTGAATTCGCATAGCTCAGTGTAATACCTAGCATAGGCTAATTACATAATAATATAGGGTTGATTGAATAAATGAATGATTGAAGGATGAATATATTAATTTTTAATTTTATATTCCACTAAAATAAATGTAATATTAATAAAGAAATGATTGTGAAATATGTCCCTCAGATGAGGGAAGCACAGAATCTGCTAAGTACACCAAACTTTCAATGGGTAGAGAAATAGTGACTTTGGTATAGCAAAGTGAGTACTACTGAGGAGGAAGTAGGTCCTCATACTAACAAACTGCCAAAAAGCAACAGTTTTGAAACTCTGTTGCATAAATAAATTTGTGTTATGTTATCTTAGTTTCTGAAATAAGATGCCTTTTTGGCAATATACTACCCAAGTATTAGGCCTGTTTAACCTAGGGTTGTAAAAAAGTCAATTATGTTTCAATATTGCTTGCTTACTCTTTAATTGAGCCCCCATAAAAATCATTTGGATAATGTTGTTTGTTGTTTTAACAGAAAGAATGCAATGAAGATTGCAACTTCAAGGAATTAATTCTGGAAAACCATTACAACACATACGCATCAGCTAAATGGACACACAGTGGAGGAGAAATGTTTGTTGCCTTAAATCAAAAGGGGGTTCCTGTAAGAGGGAAAAAAACGAAGAAAGAACAAAAAACGGCCCACTTTCTTCCTATGGCAATAACCTAATCATATATGGTATATAAGAAACCAGTTCCAGCAGGGAGATTTCTTTAAATGGACTGTTTTCTTTCTTTCTTTCTTTGTTTCTTTCTTTTCTTTTTTTTAAGTAACCAAGAAAGGCTGGAAAACTACTGAAAAACTGATCAAGCTGGACTTGCGCATTTATGTTTATTTTAAGAGACTGCATTAAAGAAAGATTTGAAAAAATATACACAAAAATCAGATTTAGTAAGTAAAAGTTGTAAAAAATTTTAAAACTGGTTGTACAATCATGGTGTTAGTAATAGTAATTTTTTTCTTAAATTAATTTACTCTTGAGAGTATGTTAGATTTGATTATCTGATAATGATTATTTAAATATTCCTATCTGCTAATAAAATGGCTGCTATAATAATAGAAATAATGCAGATGATGTTATATAAGATATGTCAGACCAAAGGCTGCTGGAATGACTTGTCAGATAATCAAGCCAAACTAAGAATGGAAGAAGAGCAGTATTTAAAATTTATTTTAGTAAAAATAATGATCCACTTAAATGCTAATCAGAAAAAAGGAATATATTCAAAAATTCTATTGTGGAATTGAGTCAAATAGCTTTACAAATCATGGGATTAGGATATGCTTGTGCCTATTAATAAGAACAAACTCCTAAAGCTGCTCAAATTGAAAGGGTTGTGAAAAGGATGTTCTCAAAAACTTTGTATATAAAATAGCAATAATGATAATACTGTATTTCATCTCACTTGCCACAAAATAACATTTTATAATCCCTAAAAGTAAAATTCAGAAATCTTTTTTTCCAGTAACATAATCTGCCTTTTATAGAATTCATATTCAGGAATATGGCTTTTGATAATGTTCTTCCCACAAATAATCATGCTTTTTTCTGTGGTTATAGCATTAAACTCTATTTTAAGTTGTATTTGAATTTTATTGTTTTGTTATTTAAGTTTATGTTATTTATAAAAAAAACCTTAATAAGCTGTATGTGTTCCATATGCTTTTAATTTTAAAGAAATAACAAAACCATCTGGCTCAACTGCTAATTTCCCTTCCTCCTTTTGACTGACACCAAGTCTAGTATATAATACTTGGGCCAGCAAATCCTGGATGAAAGACAAAAATGACAGCCTGCAGCAGTGCTTACAATTGATGTCTTACAGAGAACAATACAAATATGTGAAAAATGTTTTGTCACACACGCTTGCCAATTAAATTGGATCATATAAGCAAAATCACTGCAGATAAAAGAACTCACAGGATTTCAAAGTTAATATTTCCTTACATGGGAAGAAAAGTACCGTATTTTAAAGCTATATGTATTTGAAGTTAGTAATTTCTAATTTCTACAAATCTCTGCCATCCAAAAGATGGCAGCGTTGAATTTTTTTTTCTTCTGTTAGATGGCAAGAACACAATGCCTAAAATAGAGGTTGTAGGGCCTTGACTATCATAAGGGCTTGAGGTCAGACTAGGAATCACAGGCATTTTAGAAAAATGAGTTTCCACTTTAAAATTCTTCCACTGACAGATCTTGGCATACTTGAAATGCTCACCAAATGGGAGGTCAACATTTATTTAAATTAAATCACTGGATGCCAATCATTGTGTTATAATTTCAAAATGATTATCATTCAATTTCCTTTAATAAATATTATTTGGTAATTATAGGTAAGAGTTGCATTAAAAGCTTAGGTCAACAGAAAGAACAGTTACTTGATTTTCTTGTGGTTCACCTGCATTACCAGGTTGCAGGAATCAGAAAGCATTGCCCTTCTTCAGATATACTCTTGGGAGGAAGTCATGAATGCAATTCCAAACCTTGCTGGCCCTGGTTTCAAGATCAGGCTTCTTTGATTGCAAACTTGTGAACATATTGAGGGCAGAGGAGGACTTAACATTTTTCATATTTATTTTCTTATTGTCTAGTTGAATGTCCATAAAAATTTTTCTATAGAATCACTCAATGTTTGAATATTAAAGTTCAAAATTAAACTAATCTTAGTTCAATTTAAAAAGAGTAAAATATGATTATATAAAATTTAAACAGGAATAGTGTATATATATATACAAGCTATTTTAGGACCAAATATTCTTTGTCTACAGTTATAGTTATCACCAAATTACACAGCAATGCAGAATTAGGTAAAATCAGTATTTAGTAGTAAATGAATTTCTGGTAGTCTAAGTCATTTAAAAATTTTTCTAGAAACATATACCTTTAATTATTTGTTTTTTTTTTCCTTTCTGAAACATTTATTATGAAAATTTTATAAAATAAAATGTATTCTAGTTGCATATACTTAAAATTCTAGACTCTTAAAACTGTAAGGAGATTTAATCCTCTTACTCATTTGTGGATTGGGAAATTGAGATTTTGATATAGCTAAGTTCATGCAACTGAATAGATTACCAGATTCTTGGTCATTTAGCACATGCTCTTGGTTTATGATTATTAGCTAGTGGCCTCCTGTTTTTGCTTTCTTATTTCTTTTGATAATACAAACAAACAAATATGACCCATATTTTGGCAATTTATTTCAGACACAATGACTGATCTATATTGTGATTTTTTGACTCAGAGTAAGAAAAGAAGTGATGTAATTTCCAATTATGATTTTCATTCAACTCTTATGTGTACCCCTTTTTTTTATAAATGGAGAGCATTGTACAAATTATCCACATGAATAGAGTAGCCCTTTCAAAAATGCTCTTTGAAAGGGAAAATTAGCTAAATACAGGGGTTTCAAACATTAGGAAGGAAGCAATTAAATAAAAGAATATGAAATGTTAATAGAAGAATAAAAATATACTTTTGATGCAGTAAGTAAACTATTTTGACATAAACTATAGTATAAATTATCAGCCTTTGGATTTGATTTGGCTATAAATTCAATTTAATGACAGAAGTGAAGGAATGTTAGAGATAAGTTCTTAGAGCTTCTACATCTTAAGAGTAGAAGTAAATTTAAGAGTTCACTCTTTTGGTTCTCCATAGTGCCAAAGAATATAAAGATTGACTAGGGTATCTAGCTGTAGTAAAAGCAATTCTATAACGAAATATCCCTTAAGCAGTGACCCTCAGAAGTTTCTACTGATGTATGTAAACATTAAACAAAGAATAAGCCTAGAAAAGAATAAGAGTCTAGGGAATAATATAAAGGTGTCCTACCAAAGACAAAAAAATTCTTGAAAGTCTCTCTTCTCTTAAAATTCATATGATTTTTTCATTTTACTACATGATTCATTTGTGTTTGCTCTAAAAATCTCCAATCAACACCAGTGAGTAAAACTGATGATTCAGAGGGACATACAAGATTTATCAGGTGGCTTTATTTACACTCTCACTTCACTGCTATATATTTGTGTTACACAAATAAGAAACAAAAGATTTGGTATCTCCCATTCTCCAACTTCACATATAAATAACACACAGCTAAAGAAAAACAAAACTTAATCTAAGTTTACTATGTACAGGTGTGGTATTAAAAATATTTAACAGCCTGTTTGAGTGGTTACTGGCCAAGCAGAATATCTCTCTATGTATGAGAATGGATGCAAGTTAATATTACTAATTTGTGGTATTAGATGATTATCAGCCTTGACCACATCTATGATCATTCTAGAACACTATTTGAAAAATATCTATTAATTGGTCTGTCTGGTTTGAGTTTCAAATGTGTATCCAACTATGAAATAGTTCATTAAAACTTCATGTCTAACTGTTTTAGCGTTGTTGTCAGGTTACTCTTTATTCTGTCTTTATTCAAAAAAGCAGCAGCTTTCAATGAAGGTGACTTGTTCCCTTATGCCTACATCTATTCTAACCCATTCTCCAATTTTGAATAGTTTGTCAAGAAATGGTTTATCTCAAATAAAGACCTTATAGGAAGCAAGAAATAATAACATACTATTTTCTTCCCAACAATCTCTGATTTCCCACTTTTGAAATTACACCTCTCAGGGAACCAGGTACTTACTCTCACTTGAGAAGATGGCTCTTATGTTTGCCTTTAACTTCTTGATTATTATGTGGTTTTATTTTCCAAACTTCACATCATTGCATCTATGAGAGTCTATGCAAATTTATTTCCCTTAATATCATCAGTATTTGTGTCCTAATACTGAAATGTCAGCAACAATAACAATTAGTTTGAAGATTACAAGTCCTTCTCTTGGAGAATCCAGTAATAGATGGGTATTATTAATTATTCTAGTATAAAATGAAAACTTAATGGCTTAAAGCATCAAATATTTATTATCTCATAGTTTATAAGTGGTTCAGGAACAATAGGCATGATTCAGGAATTCAGGCATGGTTCAGATAGGTATCTCTGTTTGGAATCACTTATAAGGATGTAATCAAAGTTTTCATTATGGCTATATAGCCATCTGAAATCAGAGAGGAATATGTTTCAAGCTCTCATTGACTGTTGGCTGGGCATATCACATCCTCACAACACAGGTTTCTTCATATATTGTTTATAACATGATAGATTGCCACAGAACAAAAAAATCAGAGAACAAGAGAAAGTGTCCAAAATGCAAGTCACAATTTTTTTTAAAGATTTATTTATTTATTTGAAAGTCAGAGTTACACAGAGAGAAGGAGAGGTTCACTCCCCAATTGGCCGCAACAGCGGGAGCTGCACCAATCCGAAGCCAGGAGCCAGGAGCTTCTTCTGGGTCTCCCATGGAGGTGTGGGGGTCCAAGCACTTGGGCCATCTTCTACTGCTTTCCCAGGCCATAGCAGAGAGCTGGATTGGAAGTGGAGCAGCCAGGACTAGAACCAGCACCGGTACAGGATGCCAGCACTGCAGGCAGTGGTTTTACCTGCTAAGCCACAGTGCCAGCACCAGCAAGTCACAGTTTTTATTTTAACCTGTTCTTAAAAGTGATGTTATGGGGCTGGGCTGTGGCACAACGGGTTAAAGCCCTGGCCAGCAGCACTGGCAGCATCCCATTTGGGCACTGGTTCTAGTCCTGGCTGCTCCTCTTCTGATCTGGCTCTCTGCTATGGCCTGGGATAGCAGTAAAAGATGGCCCAGTTCCTTGGGCCCCTGCACCCATGTGGGAGACCCGGAAGAAGCTCCTGGCTCCTGGCTTTGGATCATCGCAGCTCTGGCTATTGGGGCCATTTGGGGAGTGAATCAGCAAATGGAAGACCTCTCTCTCTGTCTCTACCTCTCTCTGTAACTCTGTCTTTCAAATAAATAAAATAAATCTATTTTTTTTTAAAAAAGTGATGTCACTTCTGCCTACACAAAGAAGGAAGGGTATTACATGAGGAAGTAATACCTGAAGGTGAGAATCACAGCAGGTCATCTGAATGACTGACTGCCATACACTAGTTTGTTTTTTTTTTTTTTTTTTTTTTTTTAAGGTCAGTACCATAAGCTGAGATTCTTGAGGGCTTAATACGAGGAGTTCATGGGTTTCAGTAGTGAGCCATTCAGAAGCGAAAGGTATGAATGAAATAGGTATATTCTATTTGGAAACATTCATTATCTTTTCATGGGGGACACTGTACGGTCCATTTCTACTCAGGATAAGGTAGAAAAGGTTTGATCCACTGCATAGACTTCCTTTAGTCTAAGTTGCCCTTCGTTAGGACTCCCTGTATTGTTGGAAAACTAAAAATACCACTTGCCCTCCACATGACAGAAATTACCCTGCATTCAGACAACCTGAAGGCAATCCTCCTCTTAATGGTCCTGCCTTCTGAGATTAAGATAGGGATGTCAGTTGAATTTCTTTTGGGCTCTAGAGAATTTTTTCGTAGATGGTGAAGGCAGTTAGTCACAGATTGCCTATGTCTATCTGAGGATAAAAAGACCTAAACGGGGCCAGCACTGTGGCTCAGTGGGTTAAAGCCCTGGCCTGAGGCGCCAGCATCCCATAAAGGCACTGCTTCTAGTCCCGGCTGCTCCTCTTCTGATCCAGCTCTTTGATATGGCCTGGGAAAGCAGTAGAAGATGGCCCAGGTCCTTGGGCCCCTGCACCCGCATGGGAGACCCGAAAGGGACTCCTGGCTCCTGGCTCCTGGCTTCGCATCAGTGCAACTCCAGCTGTTGTGGCCAATTGGGGAGTGAACCATCGGATGGAAGACCTCTCTCTCTCTGCCTCTCCTTTTTCTGTGTTACTGTCTTTCAAATAAATATATAAAAAAGTAAAAAGACCTTAAAAAAGTAAAAAGACCTAAAAGGGGCCGGCGCTGTGGCTTAGTGGGTTAACACCCTGGCCTGAAGCGCCGGCATCCCATGTGGGTGCTAGTTTGAGACCCGGATGCTCCACTTTCAACCCAGCTCTCTTCTATGGCCTGGGAAAGCAGTAGAAGATGGCCCAAAACCTTGGGTCCCTGCACCCGCGTGGGAGACCTGGAAGAGGCTCTTGGCTCCTGGCTTCGGATTGGCGCAGCTCTGAACATTGTGGCCAACTGGAGAGTGAACCATCAGATGGAAGACCTCTCTGTCTCTGCTTCTCCTCTCTCTGTGTAACTCTGACTTGCAAATAAATAAATAAATCTAAAAAAAGAAGACAAAAAAAAAATTGGAAGGAATTGGTTTCAATGCTAGAGGCATAAGAATCCACCTGGGAACTTAAGAGTAAAAATAGAAATAAAAAAGGGACAAGGTCTAGGTCCCATTCTAGCCCAATTACATCATATACGTATAATTAATAGGTCTCAGATAATAGTATGTTCTTAACTCCCCAGGAGATCTGAATGTGCCTCTGTAATTTAGAACTAATTAAGTAAAACAAAAACAAAAACAAACCCTAAACTTTTTTAGGAAGCACATATGGTTCTTTACCTTGTCTCTTTCTCAAACATTGTAAAGGTCTTATTTTCCCCTGGTTTTCCTAGGTGTCTCCCTGTTTTTTTCTATTCACAATTGGGGTAATGAGAAATGTCAACACTAGAAAGAGAACTACAATTGTTTTTCACCAAAGTGTTTATAAAATACAAATGCACAAAGTCTTCTCTTCCACATAGTTCATTCTCAAGCAAAACAGAGTGACTCTGTTTTAAAATGTATTTGGGATCATGCAATTCTTCTGTTCAAACTGCAATTATTTTCCATATTACTCAGAATAGAATCTTAAGTCCTTATGGTGATTTATGAAGTGGAAATAGAAAAATGTGAGTGAATAAATTTTTTTCTGTTGAATTAGGCATGAAATGGGAAAGAGGTAATAAAGATATTGAAGAATTATGCATGCAAAGTGCTTGGCACATACCTCTAACATCTCAGTTCATGCCAAAGAACTGAAATTAGACATGGTAGACAATATTTAATGGGCAGTATAACTATTAGAATCAGACTCAGGGGAAAGGTAATAGTCCTACATAAAAAATTAACTAAGGTACATTTTTGTCTAAAGTAAACATATTTAAATCTATCTATCTATCTATATAAATTTAATGATTCATCAATTTAACATTTTTCTATTACTCAAACAATACATTCATCTAGGCTAAGTGAGAAGGTTTTCTGTTTTACTATTTATTTAACTGAAAGCTGATTTGGCTATTTTCTTTGTTTTAAATTTTTCATTAATATAAATGTGAACATTTTTGTATATGCTTTTTTATATTTTTAATAATTTTCTTAGGATAATTATAAGAAATAGAATGGAAAACTAATCTTTAGAGAGTGTTTTTTTTTTAATTTATAACCAGCAATGCACGCGAGTGTTCAAAATTTAGTTGTGTTCAAAATTTAGTCAACTTTTACCCATGTCTCTGCTTTTTTGACTCTGATAAATAACCAATGTTTTCCTAACCTCTTCTTTCTCAACACCTTTTGTATTAGTCACTTTCTTGATCCTTCAACAACTTCATTAATTCATGCCTGCAATTTAGCAAGAATTCCTTCTGTTTTCAGTTCTTACCTATCTCATATGCTTCCTTAATCCCTCTAAAATATTGCTTTGACAGTTTCAGTTGAAAAAATCCATAATGGTTCCTGTTTGCCTATTCAGTTTCAATTTCTTAAAAAAAAATAGCCAGAGCAGTCAAACTACTGTACCTGTAGAAACTTCTTGTTCAATCTAAATCTTAGAATTTACTTAATCCATTGTGTTTCATATTTTGCAGACTATATTGTGTTTGCCTTTGAGTTTTTTCTGTATTGTCCCCTCCATCCAGAATATCTGCTTTTTACTGTCAGTCCTCATCCTTTTCTTCCTTTTAGGACAAGGTTCAAATTTAATGAGCTTTATCTCTTAACCTGTATTATCCCTGCCTTACATGATTTTTTTCCTTCTCTGAAAATTATTATGATATAGTCCAGCAACTGATTACACACACATACACACACACACAAATACATGTGCAAACATAGATACATATATATAGATACATATACAATGTTTATGAATATATGTCCTCATCTACTTCAGGTAAACAAGCATATATTGAAAGCCTACTACAGTTGTGTCATGTACTGTATAAATTATTTCAAAAATTTCATGACAAATGGAATTAAATGTTTACTTTGGTGCGAAAAGTTGTGAAATCTATGCCAAAGGGGAACCTTCAGAAAGTTAATTAAAATCCTATTATAAAAATAGGGGTCTTAGGGGCCGACACTGTGGCATAGGAGGTATAGCTGCTGCCTGCAGTGCCAGTGTCCCATATGGACGCTGGTTCAAGTCCCTGATGCTCCACTTCTGAACGAGCTCTCTGCTATGGTCTGGGAAAGCAGTGGAAGATGGCCCAAGTC